ATGACCATTGTCTTCACAAGAAATTTTACGAGTTGCACCCCATGAAAAATCATCGAAATGCCAGCAGGTAAGATGAATTTCCAGCCGAATAAATATAATCATCCACATGACATAATAACTTTGTGAGTGGTACTGGTAAAGACGACCAAACCGCTTGTAAAAGGAAAGTAGCAGCAATAAATATCAAGGGAAAGTATCATCAACACTAAAGCCACCGGTAATGATTAAATAGACCAAAAATATTAGTGAAGTGGTAATACAACCGTTCCAACCAATTCCAAATATAATAAATTGCATAGAACAACAGAATATACCACAAAGTTGTGATACGAAAATTAATTCCATCAATTATGTATCGTAGAGGTAATCCATTTTCTTTTTTTGTGACAATAATACTTTAAACTCATCCGGTACTATAGTTTTACATATCACCTTTGGTACATAAATCATTTTACGTTTCGATAATGTTCTCAATATCCAGGTGCTTGATACGATACAAGAATACCCTGACAAACAGGTTACTCCACCAAATATTGATTCATAGGATTTTCCAAGATAATGCGAAGTATATATAATATTCCAACTCGTTTTCATATTCGCTATTTTCGTTTCCCCGCAAAGTCCCATAACCGTTGGATCACGTTCCATCGATGCCACACATCTTACTAAAACTATCCTTTAATCATAAGTATCATCTCGTATTTATAAGGCGTTGCTCCCGTTAATTTTCGTATAATTCGAATTCCAATGGTGTCATACGTTCGTTAAAAATATATTGTTAAGCCATTTCATTAACGTTAATATAAGCTGTGAATCTCGTTTACCACGATTACCGGCTTTAAGCCCTTTTCGTTCTTCTGGTGTGCCAGCTTTATTAATAAACACATTGGAACATGATGTCCATTACAATTATATATCCGATAATTTGTGTTGCTTTTTACTTTCTCCTATGGCTAAATATGACTTGTGGTATCTGAGACTCGAAACTAGATAATTGAACGGTTCAATTAAATCCTCGTATATCTCCGGAGTTGTTTTATCGTTATCTGATCCGGTTATGTCACCATCAGCGATTACCATTAATAATTTGTGCTTGTCAGAATAATCCGTACTGGCCAATGAATCATGTGTTATGCGCATTGAATGTTCACCTCCCGAATAACACGTGACTAATAATAAAATGTGTGATGTCGTACCATCGATTTTTGGTTTCTTCGATATTTTACCAAGCTGCCATGGTAGAAACCAATCATAGCGGAAATGAACTTGATTAAAGAATTCTTGTGAATACGTCTGTTCATTATTCAATCTATTAGCGAAACATCCGATGGTTGTTCTTTCAACATCTCCTGCTTTAAAATTAGATAAACATTTTTTTTTTCCGATCGAACCTAAAAAATAAAACCAATCGAAAGTAAAAATAAAGAATAATTACAAATAAACCGGAGAAAAAAAAAATCCCGTCACAGAGCAAAAAATAGAAAAAAAATTAAACATAAAAACTGAAGCGAATTATTTTTCTATAGTCCGTATACCCAAGATAAAGAACTTAAAAAAAAGAAAACAAAAGAGTGGTGGATGCTTTGGATTCGACACTGGACGACGTATTATTAAGTGTAAATATTATCGGTTATTCTACCTTTACAATTATTAATCTAATTCATAATTTTATTATTTGAGTTTCAATATTTGAGTACATTTTGGCGGCCGAAAATACAAGAACTCACAAATTAATCAGAGTCCAATAAATGGCTTGTCAGATCCTTGAGAATGTTTTTCGTCGGAACATTCGTGATCACATTTTGTAAACTCTTGTTGTTCCTGAACCGAATGAGGATCTGGAATAAAAAAAAAAAAAAATTATTATTTAAATAAATGTACATTAAATAAAGATAGAAGAAATTAATACATACCTTTAAAACCTGTACGTTCCCAGAACAACCTATGAGAAATGAAATCTAGCGGTTGATCATTAATAGGTTTTTTTTTATAATTTATTAAATAGTTAAAATAGAGTCGATAGTACTGAAGAGAATTTGAATACAAATTTAAATACCACTTTTATTAATAAGCTGAATATCCTGTCCAGATTTACAAGCCTTTTCGTTTTGACAATAATCAACATGTCGATGCCTTCCTAAATCTTTACAATACTAAGATTGAAAAAAAAATTATAAGATATTTGAAGAAAAAAAAATATACATCATTTATATATACATACCAAGTTGCAAGGGACGAATTTTCCTTGATTAATTAATTTGTATCTAACGATTGAAAGATGGCCAAAAAAAATAAATAAAGATATATCTATTGATATTACTAATAAGATTAAATATAATATACCCTGCATATTCTTCGTCATCACTGAATTGATTTGGTATCATATTTCCATGTTTGTTATCATGTAGTTGCGTGTGTCCATGAGGCAATTGTATAACACGTACAAAACATTCGCAGAATTGACACTTTGTGTCACAAAAATGAAAACCATCTTCTTCATCATGATAATGTTTTCCGGGTGCTTAAATTCATTTTAAGGAATTTTTTTAATACATTTTGATCTTTCACTTGATTGAACAAACTATTTTGTTAATAAAACATCATTCAAATATTAATATCTCTTTATTAAAAAATAATCCAACTTTTACTTAATAATTTATACCTTCGTAAGTGATTCGTTTTCAGATTCTTTATTCTCCTTGCTTGGTAATTACTGCCTTACATATACCGGATTCTTCGCATAACTCACGACATTGATGTTCATCCCTAAAATCAAATAATTTTAAATCAAATAAATTCGTTTCATAAAATAATATAAAAAAAATGATAGTACAAACCCAACAAAAATGATCCACTTGATTTAGAGTTTGAATTAAATGAGAGACGACGACACAAAATTTTGAAGATTTAAAAACATTTTATGGTTGACTCATCGAAAACCCATTGAATTCGAAAGGTTTCGACTTTTGTCAAAATGGAATTTGGATTTTGCACCGCAACTTTAGTTGGAACATATTTTTTTTTTAAAAAATATATCATTTTTTGTGTTTCGTCTTCCATACTTTTTGCTAAACGAAATGAACAAGAAAAATATACCAATGAGAATATGAATGTAAAATGTATCGTGACGTGACGCGATAAACTTTAAAAAAGACCGCGATAAATAAATCACGTGAACTTTGATTTATTGAACTAAAAATATTTTCAAATCACATGATTAGATCCGCAAACACGTGATTTAGAATCCCATAATCCGACAAAATTCTCATTTTTCTATAAATTTACATTCATCTGCGAT